TTTTATTTTCTGTAGTTATTGTTTCCGAAATTATTTCAAACTAAAGGGTAGAAAAAAAAATTAATGGCTCTCCTGGAGATCCACGGAATCAAAACCTCTGGGAATGTGCACTTTGACAAAAATCCCTAGGTGATAATGAAATGGGCTCTGAAATTTGAAAACATGATAAACCCATACAGTAGAAAAGTCACATTGTTTAGATGTCAGTTCTTTCCAAATTAATCTATAGACTGATCTCAAACAAAAATGTAATCTCAATCAAAGTCCCAGCAGGCTTTGTGTCTGTGTGTATGTATGTGAAAATTGAGATGATATTAAAATGCATATGAAAATTGTAAGGATCTAGACTAATCAAATCAACTCTGGAAAAAAGCATAGAAGTTTGAAAGTTTGAGGACTAACACTACCTGACTTCAGAAATCACAAAGCTATAATAAACAAAATAGCATGCTACTGGCATCCAGATAAATAAATCTTTGGTGCAGACTAAAGATCCAGGGGCTGGGCAATGGTAGTTAATTCACAGCAGTATCATTTGTGAAAGCTACAATTTAAATATTCAGTAGATGAAGAGACAATTCCCAATATATCCCTTCAACATAATACTATTTAGAAACAAAAAGCAATAAGCTATTGAAATACACAGCAATAAAAATGAGTGTCAAAATCATCATGCTGAGTTGAAAGAAGTCCAATAAAAAAGGAACACATGAGATTCCATTTACATAAAACTCCATAAATGCAAACTAACCCATAGTGAAAGAAAGCAAATCAGTGGTTGCCTGGGATGGGGGCCCAGGAAGGAAGGGTATGAAAAATCTTTGGGGGAATGATGGTGATATTGACATTTTAATTGTGGTAATGATTACCTACCAAATTATATGCTTTAAATATGTGCAATGTGTATTTTAATGATATCTCAAGAAAGCTGCTTAAATAAGCAAGCAAACCCATTCAGTAAAAGATGTTGGTTTCACCACTTACTTATATGTGGGCTTATACTTCTTGAGCTTTAGTTTTTCCTAAAAAAAAATAAAATAAAATAAAAAATATAATAATACTTGCCATGGGGTTGTGGGTAGAAAATGGTCAATAAATATTTCAGTTTTCCACTTTGTAATTTACAGTTTAGTGGTATACCAGCTAATAAGCATGTTTCAATTTCTTGGATATTAAGATTGGATCACAGGTATTTAACATTTAACTCAATGCAACAGTATCTGATTTCATAATTAAATGAAACATTTTGCTCTTTTAAAATATATCCCAAGTTTAAACTATTTTTTTTTCTGGTGGTGGCAAGAAAAGCACATTCCAGGATTTGAATTAGAGATCTTAAAATATATAGTTAATAAAAGACTTCTTCTTGTGACTGGAAGTAACTACATGTCAACTCCTTATTTGGAAATTCACAATTAAATGGAAAGAAGTTACATTTATCTTTCCTGTAAGAACTGAAATGTAGAGTAGTTAAACGGTCCCATAAGATGAGGAAAAAAAAATTGCAGAAATTCTAGCTAATATATGAAGAAAGAATAATAGAATAAGCAAACTGCCATTTTGTAGTATCAAAACAATTCAGGCAAGGATCATGGCTTAAGCCACTAAGGGAAAGGCCAACCAACAGCCAGGGGGAGTGTTCCTTCACAGCACTGTCACCCCTCAAATTAATTCCTTCTTGGGCCCATTGATCAATCTCAGACACTAACATGGGTCACCCAGACGCCACGTGCATCCTGATGAGATGGAATGTGAAACACACAGCAGCATGTTGGAAGAAGTCCTGCCAAAAAGGTTTCATCTAAATCTAATCAAACCTTTAGCTCTGTCTTCCATTTTAAAAGAAATACAGGGCATAGGAGAACAAGTTAACACTACATAGAAGTGAAAGACCCCCGTATCCCTGTCCAAGGAGAATCACACGAAACACTGGCTGCAAAAGCAAGAGGTGGTTTATTGAGACACAGGCGCCTGCGGGTGCCCAGCAGAACCTCAGCCAGAGCTTTGGTGAACTGGCACACCGGGCTTGGGGATACAGAGATTTTTATAGGGTTCAGGACAGGTTTCGAGTGCGCAGCAAGCAACAGGTTTCTTATTGGTCATTTAGAACCCAGCATATAGGTTACCTAAAAGGTAAAGTTGTTTTTCACTTTATGTTTCTGGAAAGACCACGTAAAAACCACATAATTGCACTCTGCTCTTTCTGTTCCTGCTTGTTCAGGCATGTCCTGGGGCCTGGCTTTCTGTTCTTTCCCAACCATCCTGTTCTCAACTGGCTACCCTTAACTGATCATCAGATAAACATCTCCCTTAACTGATCATCAGATAAACATCTCCGGTGCTTTCGTAGGTTTGCAACATACCCTGATAGTTTTGTAACTGGGCCTGGGGTTACTGGGCTAGGGTTTTTCAGAAGCAATCAGATAAGTCCACAAAGTGATCCTTCAATGCATTCCTGACAAGAAAGCAAATTTGTTAGTGTGGTTCTACATGAAAGATATAAAACCAAATGCAACACGTGGGTCTTGTTTGGATCCGGGTTCAAATTGCCAGTAAAGATGAATTTCTGACACAACACAGGATATCTGAATATGAACTTGTCTTAGATGATTTTAAGCAGGATTTGTTAACTACACAATATGTGACAACAGTACCAATGGCTATATATAAAACACTTTTAAAAAATACATACTAAAGTATTTATGACTTTAAGAACATCATAATTTAATACATTCTTAAATATTTTTGTGAAACAATAGATAAAATAATAGAGCAAATTATTAAATCACTATAAACAAAGGTAACAGGTCTATGAGAATTCATGCCCTGTCTCTCTGTTTCTGATGAATTCCATAATACAATTGCCAAAATAACATGTTTCTAGTACCACAAATGTCAAATGTAAGATAGAAAAACGTTTAAACTAATTGTCTGCAGAGTCACTGTTGTTTGATTCAACTTTGGCCTGGCTTCCTGAGCTCCTGTCACATTCCAGTCACTAAGCCAGTAACATGCGGCACATGTGGCTGAACCACCTACTACTGAGCCATGTGACTTTGTGCAATYTACTTCACCTACCAGATTCTTCCTTGTAACATGAGGAAAATATAGTCCCTACCTCAGAAGATCACAACGAGGATTATGTGAGTTAATACTCCCAGGGTGGGTAGCTGCTATTCTGGGCCATAGAGTGGAAACAGTCATAACAAGAACATCTTGCATATCTTCTGCTCTGGGTACTCCTTCACTGAGCTTGTCAAATAGCCAGAAAGGCCTTTCTCAAATAGCCACAAGCATAGACAAATACAATCAATGGCATACAAATACAATCAATAACATAAAAACACAATCAATGATAAGCACTATGAAAGAAAAGGACAGTGAGTTGTGAGAGATTTGCTGCATGATCAGTTAGGAAGTCAGGCTCCAGTGTCAATACAATGAAGCAGGCACACAGTGTTGAAATAGAGACTTTGGGAAGAATACTTGGACTTACATCCAGCTCTTCCATCTATGTAACCTAGAACAATTTACTTAACCTCTTAATTCCCTCATCAGTACAATAGTGCAGGAATAGTCCTTACCTCATAGGGTTGTTGATGAGGATGACAGGAATAATAGTGGAAGGTGCTTAGAACAGCAACTAGCATACACTATGCACTAAATAAGGTTGTGTTAAATGAGGTTGTCTTTTTATCTCTTATTATCTTATTATTGGTCCTTTGATTCAGAGCTAAATGGAGTATAATGCTACCAGCCCGGCCTCATAGTTTGGCCTTTAAGAGCCTAATGAGTTAATATTTTAAACTACCTTTTTCCTAGGCCCACACTACAACCACTTAGAGAATTCCTTTATAAAGCCCTGATGCAAAAGCTCTGTTCTGAAGTGAATGAATTAGAAATGCTAGGAATGGAGCTTGAGTGTCCCTATTTTTCAGAAGCTCCTTCGGTGATTCTCACATGCAGCCAGGGTTGAAAAACACTGATCCAGACATTCAACATGTAAATACCATTTCAAAAGTGTAAAACTCTTTATAATGAAATGAGCTTATTATTCAGTCCCAACAGTGTACAAGTCATGATCTTAGACCACACAGATGATTTTTTGCTTTCAGAAGAGTTTAAGTTCCCATAGAAGGGCTTCCCACTAATTCCTTTGGCTTTTGTATTGCTGCTTGCAAATATGCACTTCCAAACTTGAAATATACATGTGAACAGTGTGTACCAGTTTAAAAAAAATAATAATTCCTTTTGCCTTCCCCCACCTCCTTTTATTCCAAGAGCACAATAAACATTAAGGAGTCTCAGGTAAGCCTTCCTGGGCCACCTGGGGGTTTGGCTTGTGCCCTTTAACAACATTTGTGGGCTTAACTTGGACACACCTTGAACACACTCCTGGGTCAGATGATTTTCAGATATAACACTCAACTCAACCCAATGTCTGGTGAGTTCTTTGTAGAAAGGCGCCTTTCTACCCCCAGAAGATAATAAACACGGAAAAGTTAAGGAGGCTATTTGCCCTAAAGGTGTGGAGAACAGTTTCAAAAGTCTAGGCATTTGAATCAACAGCTCCAGAAACATTACCAACTTTTGAGGGACTGAAGTGTAAAGTTGTATTGCTTGATTGGTCATGGTTACCTTCAGCAAAAATTCACCAATATGTATATTTATAGCCTATGACTATATATTTATATTTATAGTCTATGACTTTTAATGTGGGTAAGATATACCTTACTTTAAAAAAAAAACAGCATAAAAGAAAATACAGTTGGTAAATAAGTTATTTGCTATGAGGTTCTCCTGGGAGAAAGAAGCCAAAGGAGAGTCCCACAATAGCTCCCAACGCCCTCCTTTGACCCGCCTGCTCTGAGAGGACAGGCCTGCAGAGTTGGAGGTTCGAAGCCAGTGGTCGGACAGGGACTGTCCAGGGCGAGGTGGCGCGCCCGGGCACCGCGGCGTTTGCCAGGTCTTCCGTGTGCAGAGCGCGGGGTCGTTCTTACCCAGCAGTAAGAAGGTCACCACCCACTGCAGCGCCGCCGCCGTCTGCAGCCGCCGCGCCAGCGGGATGYTGAGCGGCGCAAACTCGATCTTCATGATCGCTCTCAGCGAGAACCGCGCCTACCGCAGCCACTTGCACCTTCCTCGGCGCCGGCGGGAAGTGTGGGGCGGGATCCCGCCTCAAGCCAGGCACCCACTGGGCGGAGAGGAGCAGGCGGGGACGGAATTTCGCCTAGGGTTGGGGGACGCACCAGGGCGGAGGCTGGGGGCTGCCAATCACTGGCGCCCGGCTCTGGCGCGGGCCCAGAGCAGCAGCCGCCCAACCCACGCACCCGCTGGCGCGCAGGGGTCTCGGGAGGAGCGCGAGAAGGCACAAGGGACAGATGCTGGCGGGCTCTCGCCGACTGGTCTGGGACCTAGCGGCTCCACCCGGATCTGACCATTGTTAAGCTGATGGACCACCAGCAATTGCTTCAGCAGCCGCCCTTAAATTCACCCCTCTCCTTTCTCTGGAATGAATGAATGGTATAGTTCAAGGAATCTCAGTTCAGCTGGGGAAAGTCGGGGGTCTTAAGTCTGTTGATGTGTGCCCCCATAGTATTCCCAAACTCTGTGGGGAAGCATAGGAGCTGCTTTCTCAGTTTTGTGTCCTCAGATCCCTGAAAAAATCGTAGACTCTTTTCATTTGTTCATTCACTCAATACGCATTTAGTGTGAATCTACCACTTGCCAGGAGCCACTTCGGGTTTTCGGGATACACTGGATAACCAAGTGTCCGTGTAAAATAACAACTCTGCTTTAGGGAAATAAAATGTTTTTTTTTTTTTTTTCCCCTGGGCCAAATATGAATGATCATGGTCTTGGAACACAAGGATTCAAGTTACCCGAAGAAAGTCTTAAGTCAATACATTGACCGTGATCAAAGAGACAGCAGGCTTCGGCAAAGTAGAGAAGGCTTTCCTGTAGGTTCCAAATGTTACCTTCTAAAATTCTTGGCTTTAGGGTTGGTGGGCTAGAGGTCTGCTAAACTTCCTGATATGTTCTGAGAAGTTTATCTGGAAGTTGATCAATTAGTTACAGGAATGTTAGGTCAGATACAGAGGTTAAGGTAAATGGGTACTAAAGGGTCTAAAATAGCGCAAGATAATTTTGGCTTTGGACCTACAACCTTCCATCTCTCTACAATTCCCATGTACATGGTCAGCCAGGTCAAACTGTCTGCAGGATTTTTAACAAAGAACTTCAGTTCTCACATGTCATTCATTGTCTTTTTCTCAGAGTATGTCTCATGAAGCAAAGACAGGTATAAGTAAAGTAACTGTACAACTGGATGTATAATTGTAAGCATGACCCTACTGTGGATAACTAGAAGATTGTAGGAGCCTAGATTGGAGGGTTAGAGATGTATCTGAAGAAGCTCCCTTAACTTGAGGTTTAACAACAGATTGTGTTAATTTGTCATAGGAGAGTGGAGAACTGAAGCTCTAAATCTCAGTTCTTGTGTTCCAAAAAAAGAAAATTTAAAGTCAGACCCGAAAAACCAAGCAAGAGAACTCTACTGTAAGTGAAAGTAAGGTCAGTTTCAAGCAAAAGCACTCTCAAGCAGAGAACGAAAAAGGAAACAATGCTGCTTCCAAAGTTAATGTTGTTTGATGTTCACCAAGAAAACTGGGGTCCACCTTCTGCCATATTCACCAATCAGATGTCTATCTCCTCCTTCACATTTGGCGAGGGGAATTTTTAACTCCAAAAATTGTTCCTCTCCAGAACTGTCATGGCAACCTCCTATTGGGGAGAGGGGGCTTCATCTACAAATCCATTCCATATGGATGTGGGTACTGAGATCAATGACCATGGGGATTTCATCAGAGTGTGCCTACACTGTTGATGAAATTTCCCTTCTGGAATACATTGAGAAATCTTTGGCCATGAGTCCTAATTTTTTTTTTTAATTCTTTGGAAATTTTTAGTTTTTAATTTTTTTCCTTTACTTTTTATTGTGGGTTGTTCAAAACATTACATAGTTCTTGACATATCATATTTCACATTTTGATTCAAGTGGGTTATAAACTCCCATATTTACCCCGTATACAGATTGCAGCGTCACATCAGTTACACATCCACTGTTTTACATATTGCTATACTAGTGTCTGTTGTATTCTGCTGCCTTTCCTATCCTCTACTATCCCCCATCCCCTCCCCTCTCATCTTCTCTCTCTACCCCATCTACTATAATTCATTTCTCCCCTTTGTTTTCTTTCCCCTTTTCCCCTCACTTCCTCTTGTATGTAATTTTGTATAACCATGAGG